AAGCAGAAGTTTAAGCAGAAGTTAGGCTCCACCCTGGAAACGCTGGAAAGCGGCTCCTTGCATTTTACTGGTGCCATCAGTTAGGGACCAAGGTGGATGGGGGACACACCATCAAGAAAAATAGTAATGGGWTAAGGAAGCAAGAAGGAAAAGCAAAACAAAATCCAGTCCAAGTGATTAAGGAAGAAAGCAAAGAAGAATTTCTTTAAGCCATACTCCAAACTTTAATACCCAAGAAAAAATTTAGTCCATTATACACAGTAAAAATAGGGAAAGTTCACACTGAAGACACGGAACTTCCGATCCTTATCTTTGCAAGTGATTCTTGAACATAGTACATATAAATAAAAATGCAGGACACCTTACATGTCACATTTACCCCATATAATGAAGCATTATACTGCAGATTATGCAGCATTTTATATCTTACACTCAATAGCACATACAGTTTAATAGTGATCTTGGCTTCAGCTGATAAACAACTTACACACTTTTTCCTTGTGCATACAATAAAGAGAAGAATGCAATTACACTGAGTAATACACATTTATCCCCATTCATAAAAATACAAATGATGATTTTTCAGAACTCATATAAATAAGACTGAAAATAAAACACTACTCAAGTCATACAATTCATTCACAAGATTATTCTGCTTTCAACTCTTAACTGTTACATTTCAATAGGAAAGAATCAAGAGAAAAATGGCATTTTCTAAATWAAAAATAGAAGCACATCACTATACTTGACAGAAGTCAATTAAAAAAAAGCAGAAACAAAACAACAAAATGGCACTTTCAACAATACCGGCAGAGAGAAAGCGAAGAACAAACCCAAGAGAACAAAAGATACTGGGACTCAGTCAATGAAGAAAGTTCAATGGTCTRTTTGTAGAGAACAGTAACATCACAGTTCAAGAGCAATTACAAGCTAGTTGAACGAGGCTGAAATTGGGCAATATTACAGATGTAAGTATTCAGCATCTGCATAATTAACATTTACCTAAATTTGTCTCATTTCAAAAAGCTTGAAAAAATCTAAATAAKCAGAATGAAGGCAAGTAGTCACAAAGGTCATAGAAAAAAAATGGAGTTCAATAATGAAATCAAAACAACAAAAGATTTCTTGAAGTGTGGAAGGGGTCATTTTTGTATTTATTTATGGCAATGGCAGTGTTTCAGCTTTAAACAGGTCTTGAAACAGGGTTAATCCTTGAGTATTCATTAACAGAGATATATCTTAGCAGTGCATTTTTAAGAGCAGACAGTTCAAAGACCATTTTAAGGTAAAGTTCCAATGAAAATGCTTGTGGYTTAGAAGACTTTATCCTTGCTAAGRATTCTGAGCAGAATTGACATGGTACCGAGACATCCACAGGCACTCTCTCTTATGCAGTGTCAAGACTAAAGAAATGTAAAGAATTTTTCCTTCCATGCAAAGTTTCAGTTTAAAAAAAAAGGCACAATGCCTTGGCTTTAAAAAAAAAAAAACTAAAAATCTTTTAATGGATAGTAAAAAGATGTGAACAGGCTATCATCATGAAAAAGGAACTATAAATAGCAACTGAAAATGTCTAAAAAAGGATGTAAGCAATACCTAGGTTAACCATTGTATTAATGCAAACAAAAATCCAATGGCTATTGTGATACCTCCTCTCAGCACAGTATTTATTGGCTATTTTTTCATTTATGTATCTAAGTTATAGAAGGCTCTTGTCTGTCCTGTATAATGCTATTTTGGAGATAAAATCTCCAACTAAACCTTTTTTGCCAGGAAAAAAAGATAAGGAAGCAAGAGGTAGAGTTCACTGTAGCAGGAGTAAACTGCTTGAAGCTATAACCAAATTACCTACCAACTGGACTGCATGTGCCAACTCAGAGAAGGAAGTACATATTGTTTACACATTACTTTTTTTTTTTTTTTTTTTTTGGGGGGGGGGGGTGGGTGCAGAAAGAGGGGATGAGCAGGAGAAAGGGGGATTTCCTCTCATCCACTACCTTCTCATGGCATGGGTGAGTCAGCTAGGCTTTAATTTTTATTTAATTTTTAGGAGTTCCAAGCAYAACAGGACTTTGATTTGTTTAATTATCTTTAAAAATATACACTGCTTCCAGATCTTTGACTTATGCAGTAGGCAGATGACGCAAACACAATAAATTTTAAGTCTGCCAAGCACCCAGTTATTTGAGTTTCAACACCAGCAGATGAATCACAATTGGTGTTAATAATGAACCAAGGTTAGTTTATTGCCCCCCTCTGACACGTTCTTCATTTAGTATTCTGCTTTACATTATTTCAAATGGTCTATAGATTTTTTGTTTTAATTACATTTTTAACAGTCAGATTTGAAGAGTAGCATATGTACAACAGTATACTTTGTTCCTACTTCCAGTTCCACTGAAAATGTTGTCTAACAGCTYTGATCGTTACTTTATCTTCCAAGAAACGTTTACCTCTTCTCTACTATTTGAGAGCTTTTCTGCTATTTGAGAGCATAATTTCTTTCAAGTGCATATTTAGAAATACTTCCTTAAACTTTGACAACAGCTAGGACAGTAAGTACTTCTATGCATTTCAAGCATCACAAAAGAGAGAAAAAATGATTATAGACTTAGGAAAACCGAGTCAGCATATGTGCAGCATTAGCATGGTTAGGGCAAACATTAAATTTTAGTCTGAAAAAAAGTTTTGCTTTTTTTTTTTTTCCTTAAATGCATTTCAAAGCACAAGGATAGTGTATGTGAATAATCCCCTYTCTGCTTTCATTAGTACAGTACAAATATGCATGGCATAGTACATGTCTGGAAAGCAATACAGATTAAGAAAATAGACACTATCTAAATCCTAATTAGGAATAAGAAGGCACCACTGATTTGAGGCTTTGTCCAGACATCAGTCAGTCAGTCTTGTTTCCAATTTTCGTATTTGAGCTAACATTTATTTCCCCCATTAACATATTCAAAYCACTTCTATTCTGGTTTTCTCACAACAAACAGCACACATTCATAGTAGTATTTCATCATGGAGAGTTCATTCACAGTGTAAGTTGATAATACAGATTCCTTCTCCACCTGAAAAKAAAAASCAGAAATTTTCAAAATACTTCGCTACCAGCAATGTTCAAGTTTCTTTCAGTCAGAGAGAAATTGCTATATACCTCCTACCAACAGATTTCAAAGTCCATCTATTCATTTCTTTAAATACTAGGCAAGTAAAAACTTGCAACACAGTTACAAGCACTTAACTGTTCTAAGCATTATTAATCTGTGCCATTAAGCTAAACAACATTTCAAATAAAGATGGAAGGCGTTTGTCTAGTCTATGCTGCACATTCCCAAGCTACAGTATCATCTTACCTCAATTTGGAATCCATACTGCAGGATAACATTTTTTATATCCTCATAGCTTAATTCTATAGAAAGCTCATTTGCCAAGTTTTCAAAGTGGTAAAGGAGAGGACCTAGAGTATAGAGACAAAATTCAAAAGGGATGTCAAAAAGTCTTCTAATTTTTTTAGAATAGAAAGTCCTAAGAACATTCAGGCCCCAAATCAAACACAAATCAAGAAAAYGCACATATTTCTACTGGTCAAATATGCTTTTTATTATGAAAAATAGATACTGAACAGATATTGGAAAAAGAAGTCCTGGTTTCTACCAAAACGTGTCTTCCATCTTTTAAATTTTATTCATTTTCATCAATGCAGAATCATAGTACCAGAGACARGACCAGTGAGCTTTACAAAATCTCTGTTCACATTTTGTGACTAGCCATGACAGTAATGACTGACCAAGAAAATGTTTGATATATGACGTTTTTCTGTCTTTCCCTCACCATGASAGAAATTGGAAGTCTTCCTTTAAGCCAAAATATCCATAAATATCTTATCCTTGACATTTCTACTTATTTAACAAATACAAATAGAATTTTTCTTTCCTTGGAAAGACACCAAAAATTAATACAGGACATTACATTTGCCCAACTTAAACAACATAAACATGTGATGTATGATTTCAAAACCTGCATTAGAAAGTTTTGATTCTATACAGAAAAATGACTTAACAGTTACTTAAAAATAACCATTTGGACATATTTGTCAATATCTGGACACACTGAACAGATCCAACATGATCTGTGAACTATATACATACAAGTAGAAACTTGGGGAGTAAATGGAAGAAAGAYTGGTCACACTTGCCTACATTAATCCATATGCCTCCAGGCTTTAGTATTTTCCATATTGTATCAATATAATCAATAACGTTATGTGCTGTATCTATGAAGAAGCAGGTGGCTATGCAGTCCCATGTATCTGCACAAAAAGAACATATTACACAGAGATTAGGTTCAGTGTTTCTCCCCCTAAAAAAAAAAAAAACCTTAATTTTTGTTGCTATATTAGGCTTTCCTTCAACCAATAATGGCAGTTGAACACTTTTCACATTTACCAGAAATTAGCTGTGTTGTGCATAAATGACAGACAGTAAATCTGAATCTGTGGGGTATGCACATACATAGAGATTTATATATACATGTACATAAAGCCAAAATGTGCTAATACTCACCTGTTTGAACTTCACTACTAGAATGCTTAAAAATAAATGGAAAAATGCCCAGCAAATGTGGGCAGTTATGCTATCACTTTCCAGTTATGCTATCACTTAGAACAACAGAATTCTGCACATTAAAGCACGCTTTGAAGTAGCATAATTTGGAAAAAAAAAAAAAAAAAAAAAAAAATTAATCCAGTATCTGAATCCATCTGTATTTTACTAATGCATTTAACAAGCCAAATCTTTCAAGGACTCCATTGTATTTCAAATTGGAAAAGTCTCAGTTAATTAAAAAGAAAAAAAAAAAAGCATAAAACACACACTGAATTTTTCGGTCACTTGTTTCATTTGTAGTTAACTACTTCTGAAACAACTGAGTATTTTTTCAMATTTGAAAAAGAATCAGATTTTTTTTTTTCATGTATGTACAGGCGTGCACACCCAAGAAATAAAGATTTGACTCTCCATTCCACACTGCTTGTCTGTTTAACATCACTTTACTTAATCAAGTAAACTTTTCCCTCCTTTTGCTATGTTGTCTTTATTTTGAAAGACTAATGCAATAATGTATTGTGTCATAAGCAGAAAGCAGTTTCTTTGCCATAGGAAAAAAAATGCTACGGTTGGTACCTSTTGCCTAACACCTCAGGCAAAGTTCCACCGTATTCATAATCACACTTGCTCTACTCTATCTGCAATCATTTCTTATTGTCATATTCATAATACACTGAAGATACATGGAAAGACTAAGAATTTGCATTTACTCACTGCACTCAGAGTAAATTTCTTGAAAATCTCCTGCTGTCATAGAGAAGTTTGAACCAGAAGGAAGACTATGAGGATCAACATCAGGGAAATAAATTGGTCGTATCTGATCAGCAGATCTTCTGTTATTGCTAAACTGATGAATCCAGGGATAAAGTTTACATGAGTTAATTTCAGAACATCTGAAAAATAAAGAATTTGGAACAACTCAGATTCATCTAACTGCTCAAGTATTATCTAAAAATGTAGAAATCTTGCATATAAAATGATGCACAGAAAGACCCTCAGCAACTTCCATTATTTTGTTGCTAAAGCTAATGCTAAAGCCATACAGTCTTCTAAAAACACCTTCATCTAGTTCATGGCCCATTAACTTATGAACTGATCAAATAAAAATTAAACAATTTAATATAAAATGATCACCACCAAATAAATGCCTTTTTTCCACTTCATTTTTAAAACTTTCTTTTCCCCAACTTACATTTCACCAAAAAGAAAGCTAACAGAATTAATTTTGTGATTATGGACAAAAATTGTGGCTCAGTAAAACAGCAAACCTTATTATGGCCTTCTGGATTATCTTTGATTATTTTTAGTTTTATAATTTCTATTTTTTTATACATTTTATATATTTTAGTTTTGTTCAAATGCTTTTATTAAAGAATGTGTTTAACTTTCAAAATACTTTTGCCAAAACATGTAAGTTTTGCAGTAGATGTCTCTTAAGCTCTCAAGATCTAAAGTGCTGCAATTATGCACAGTAATTTTCTTAAATAAAATTTGTGGATTAACACAATGAACTCAGCAAATTCTAAAAAGTGATGAAATAACATTCAAATTAAAGTAAATCAAAAGAAGTTTCCCCCAGAGTTCAGCAAACGCAATTCGTAACTTAAATAAAGGAAGAAGCTTTCTCTCCACATTCATCACTGCCAAATTCTGTAGTCAATCCCACTTACCAAAGCCATGACACATATACATAATAAAATATTCAGGAATCAGAAAGGGCATCTGTAAAATACATATCAACAAGCGCCTCATATACTGCAAGTTATCTACCAATTTATATAAAATTCACTCGTTTGGCTTATGAATAAAAACAAAAAAGTCAAGGCAAAGAAAAGACCTGAGCTGCTTACATAGGAAATCTTTTCTGAGCCAGCAGACATGTACCTTTCAGTACTTATTTTCCTCCTCATTTTCAAGCACTAATTATTTGCATGGAGACTCCTAGAGAGTTCCACCACAACTCCCAATTACTACAGATGTACAATCCTACTCCACATTCAAGCTTGAAAGCCTTCCATTACAATTAAGCCACCTTCTGAAGGTGTTCAGGTTCATCTACAAAGACTTTCCTTCGGGCAAATAAAGGTTAACCATCTGACCGTGTGAATTTCACTTGAGAAATGAAAGCACTCTCAACTACTCCTACTCTTGATTTTATGCTACTATAATTTAGTTTCCTCAAATATTTGGAGATGAGACTACTGCTTTGACTGACAGACAGCAAGTAAACTTTGTTTTGATGTAGTGTGCAACTAGCTGTACACTAGATCGATTCAGCTGTACAGTGGAAAAACAAGACCATGTAGGAGCCTGCATCTGTTCTATATCGACACCACACTAATGTTTCCTCTCCTATCATATGTCATGGGGTGGTTATTTATTTATATATCTTGTGACTCTAGACCACCTGAAAATTTTGTTATAGTTCCCAGTTAGGAAGACTGCTTATACTTTTTACAAGCTCTGCTCTGCCAAAGCATGTGACAAACGAGGTGTGTGTACGTCATTAGCACCCACCTCTGCCATCTGTCATTATATCCAGGATTATTCTAAACATGAGAAAAATATACCAACAATACGAAAATCTTAYCACAAAGGAAAAAGCTGAGCCTTTGATTTAAAGACTGCAGCAGTTTTGGATACATTATGGCTTAACCTTCTAGAGCCACTTGTTTTGGAAATGGAGCTTCCACAGAGGAATAATGCCCTTTAACGTATGCAGTTTTCACACCTGACTCGACTCACTGCATTTTTTCAGGGACCATGGTTACATGCTGATATACTTTCGTRTTCACTCCATACCATGCTGTGATATTTTAGCCACAGAAATTTAAGTTCTCAATTTAAGAGACAAAACTTTTCACTTCTGTCAAAAAAAGCAGATATCCTTTTGTACACAGATTTAAGTCACTGTACCAAATCCAGAAGGCCTACTTTACTGTCTTGAACACAAAGCCTACTACTACTTTTCATCTCCCTAAAAATAAACTGAGGTGAGAGAAAAAAGGTAGATCAAAACTGTAAGCATACACTAGAAAAACTCTCATGCCATTACCAGCTAAAAACAAACAAAAAAAATCTAATACCATGAAGCCAATACCAGGAATTATATACCACACTTCTTAAACTACAAAGCTAAACAGATTTTAAAAAAAATTAATGCTTAAGCCTTTCTAAGCATCACCACAACCAATAAAAAAAGCTAGTATTTTATTCAAAATTAATTTCCATGTTCCAGCATGAAAAGACCTAGCCACCAAAACTACCCTCTTTCTGCATAAATTAAGAAGGAAAGGAAGAGAGGCTAAACTTATTCAAAGTCCTCTTTTCTCACCATACTCTTCCTTAACTGCTATCTTCAACTCATACTGATCACTGCTGGTCTTTGAACGCCCCTGTCCCGGATGGCAAATGGGTCCATTTCAGACAGCTATCTGGGAAGAACCATTTAGGTCGGAAGTGGAAAGATCTCAGAAGTCCCTATAAGCTTCTTAACWGACATCCCAAGCCTGTAGTTTTCCTTACCCTTCAGTTTTGAATTAGCTGTTATCTGTGTTCTCTTCCTGCTAATTCCAAACCTGTAACTGGTACCCTTCCCAGTGACAACTGTTGAGGAACATTTTGCTGACTCAAATTAAGTACTGTTAGCAGATCTGACACATACTATTTAGCCAGAAAATGTGTATTTTATACAAATAGGAAGCAAATTCCACATATGGTCTAGAGATTCTATATTTAAAGAAGGAAAAAGCACACAATTAACAATTATCACAATTAATTTGGGATGAAGTTATACTTTCTGGTTTGAACCAATATGACAGCAAATCAGTGCTGTCAACAGGGGAAGTGAATACTTTCACACTGCTTTGAATCAATTTTAAAATTCTAAAAAGCTTRACAGCCAACTACATTGTGTAGTGTAGGGATAAAAGCATGACCTCCTCCTTCTCCTCTCTGTAACTGCAAGGCATTAGATCAGCTCAACTGTAGCAGGCAATTTCACCACCAGATGACAGTCAYTTATGAATGATTCAAGAAAACAGAGCAAAACAATACTAGATAATTATTTTCAGGATAGTAAGCACAGCAGCCATGAAAAACATTATTTCCCATGGTTCTGTATTACAGTTTTAAGTAAAAATAGATTTGGAATCATCTTCCAAGTTCCATGCCTAGCATGRGTGAAACATACTGCAAAGTACCATGAAAAGAGAGTGTATAAGCCATTATTTTAGGCGTTTCCACAAAGGGCTTATTTCAGACTGAAGAATGAGGGAACCCGTAAATTTTGGTTTTCTGAACTTGGCTTAAAATACAAACAAACAATCAAACCTCTCCTTCATGCTTGCCCACTATTAGTCTTCCTATCTCATTCACACAAGAAGAGCAGCATTTTGCTGCAAGTGACAATACCAAACACAGAAACATCACTATAAACCTATACAGTTAAATTTACAATACTGTTTTGCATTCAAATTTAGTGCCCAAGATATAAAACTATTAATTTTATATGTTACTAAGTGACAAGACTTGCTTAAGTGGTATAGCATGTTCGGTTGGCTGTTTTCTACACAGAAACGGTGCCTTAAATTTTAATAAAATTGTTGCATTCCAAATTAATAGGTTTCCTCTGCTGGTAATCACCATCATTAAGTATCTGCATATATTAATCACCATTTGATACCAGTGAGGTAGGTATACATTTTACAGAAATAGATTTGAAATAAAAATTAAATTTATTTAAGATTATGCAGAAAATCTGTGGTAGAGTCCTATCAACTTAAGTCTCATAACTGAAAACACGTTTGCTACTATAAACTTAATAACTTACCCATAAATTCATAATGCTCTCCCCATCCAATTATTCCACTTATACAGACTTAYAATGCTCCCCGCTTTCAATTATTCCACTTCTATTTTTTGGAAGAAAAGCTCTATAAACTCGTTACCTTTGTTAGGACTTATAAATCTATTCTTGTTGGAGTTTATACAAGTTTTTCTCATTAATGATTTTGTCTCCCTGTAGGTGTCAACCAGAAAGTAAAACATAAGCTATGTACCTGTTGAGTACAAAGTTAGAAGAAAAGAGCATAAAGAGGCTCCATTCATTTCCTTGGCAAGCATAACCGAGCATAGCTATTTCCCACGCCAATCTACCTAGCCCAGCACCAGGTACCAGGATATTAACTTTGGAGAAATCCCTGCAACAAAACAAAAATAATAGTTAAGTCTTTATCTGATACCTCTTAACAAAATGTAGAGGTCCAGTCAAACATTTTCCCCCATATATTTAAACATTATAATGTACTTCTCATAATTTTTAAAAGGCAAACTAAGTCAGTTTTGATCAGAAGAGTTAATTGTATAATTTAAAAAAGATCGAAAGACTTATCAAGAGAATATGTGCACATAACAAAAGTACTTTGAACTATGCAGAGTACAGTGCATCATTAACAAAATATTTTTCTAATAACCTTAAAAGCTGGAGGAATTCGCAGAAAGAATATGGTCACAATCACCACTTACTCTTCAAAGATGMCTACCAGTAACCCATAATATTCTACAAATCAGAAATGCAGTTCTTATTCTATACTTGCAAGAAATAAACAGGTATTTTCATATCATAAACACRGAGAAAGCAAAATTTCTTGAGCTGATAATGAGTTTTTCAGACTATAAAAACTATAATATAGTTGTATTTTCAGCAAGTAGACCATTTAATTTCACTCAAGTACATATGCAACACTGAGTTTCCTAAAGAAAAGTAGAGTACAACTCTCTGCTTCCTTTACTTCCGATAACTAGATATCAAGACTCCAGAAAAAYGCCTATCAGTGTTCAGTTCCTGAGGGATTTAGACAAACTTATCTTTGGCTCACCAGCAGAGATCTGAAACCCTATTCGCACAAGYCACACGGAGCAGCCTAACTAAACTCTTCTGGAGTATATTTACACTACTTTATCCTCCTTCCCTTTCTAAAAATGGGTTATTTAACATCACAGGCATAACATACTGTGGAGAATCAATAATGTGGGAGTGTTACATTCTACCTGGTCTCCACAAAAATACTCTATTTAAATTCCATTTTATCATAGGAGATACACAGTGGTGGCAAAATGTTAAAAACTGCTGGAGACCTCTTACAACCCCCACTGACTGCTTCAAGTCATGGAGATGTTCTGAGGCATGGCACTGCTGCTGTTTTACTAGCAAGGAAACATTTGCGGGGATCTTAAAAGTCATTCRAACAAGGGCAATTTGCCAACTGAGAAACCAAAGGCTCTCCAGGTTCAAAAATATTGAAGTATTTGAAATATTTGAATTTGAAAACATGAGAACATGAACTATCCTGCACTAAGATTCTCAGCGCATCTTTGTCCTCACTTAGGCTGCTCAGCACCCAGATAATCTCTGTCTAGTATCACATACTGAAATCACAACACACTTCATATTTGGAATACACATTTGTCGGTCCTAACTAATGCTAACGCTTCAGGCATCACTTGCCGTTAAACTTTGAGGCAGATTCAGAGACTCTCCATTTCCTTTCACRGGACACAATCTCCTCACTACCAGTGCTCTTCTCTATTGCCTTCATGGCGGTGCTAAAACTGTCAATGAGAAATGCTTGTTGTAACTTGCTTATATCCAGGTTCTTGAATTACTGTGATAAATGGCTGGACAACGTGCTGCAGAATTTGATGTACAGAACATGYCCAACACTCAGAGTTTCTCAAATGACCTAATCTGGTATGAGTATCTGGTATGACACATTTAAGTAGCAAAAAGCTATGTATTAACCCCAGCTTCCAAGTCCTATTATATTTTAATAAAAAGAACATATATGTTCTTTCTCAAAAATGTTCTCCTCTCTCAGACAGAAAAGGTAATATATACATATTCTAACTAATCATTATTGCATCACAATACAACCAAATCGGGCAGAGTAGGCATTTTCATTTCAGGTTGCATACAAGGATTTCACGTACAGAACAAACACATACAGGAATCTTCACTCTCAGAACCAAACCACTCCACACCAAAGTGAAAAGATGTATAATCCAACAAGGAAGTAYGTCAAATAATGAAAAATATTGTAACTAAAAAGCGCAGTTCGTAAGTGTGCAAGATACAGTATGAATTACAGAGTTCTAATCTCACAACTAAGTGTTTATTGACGTTTAGACCACAATACTGCTTGCCATGGGAAGGAACATTAACAGACAGATGCTGACTAAAAGGAAAAAGCTATTCACAGGAATCTGGTATTATCCACATAGCTAAGTGAAATCACCCAAAGCTACATACATATGAAAAATGTATGTAGCTTACATATAATTCTTACATATTACTTAAAATACTTATATATTTTAATACTCTCTAATACTACATATTACACCATATATTAATATTCTCCACTTTTCATCCTGACCAGGATGAAAATATAAATTCAAATATAAAAAAAATATAAATTCAAATATAAATTCAAATTCAAATATAAATATAAATATAAATTCAAATATAAAAAAAAAAGGGTGAATTCCTTCTCTTTTGCTGATTATCTTCAAAGGCAAAAAACTGAGTGAATTTAATAAATACATACAGCTATATGAGAGCACACAAGACTTTTCAAAAGCAGTATTTCTGAAGACAATTACCTAAACACAGAAAGGAAAGGACTTGCGTTTGTTTTATTGAAACAAAGGTACCTACTTTTAAGAGTTCTTTAACTGTTTTGCCATGRAACAGTTTACATTAGAAATATACTCTCCACAGAAGACCAGTGAACATGTACCACACTGTGGAACTTGTCAACTTAGACTTTCCTGATGTTTTATATCWGAAGAGTCACTATAAATGTTACTTTGCATGCAAAGGTATCACCAAGCTCAGGCTTAAAAGGAATCTAAATATTCATCACTTTTTTGGGGCATATACTTGAAATAYAATCAGTTCCTGTCCTAGGGATTTGATGTAAAGATTTAAGTCTCTAAATATGCAGGGGTGGAGGAAGGCAAGGCAGCAATTCTATAGGCCAAATTAATGAACAAAGGAAAACATCAGAGAAGACATCTACATTTACAGATTTTGGTCATGGAATGATGTTAATTAATTTTAAGGTTGAACATCTCATTGGTTCCTTTTGGATGAGAAATTAGACCTTTACACTCTTTCAGATAAGCAGAAAGGGTAATAGAAGTAAGAAATATTAAAAAAAAAAAGAAGGAAAATGAATTGATTAGAAAAAAAGACAAATGTATTTGCTGTGATGTTCCCCAATAAACTCATCTAGATTTTCAGATTTTTGTTTCTCTATCAGCTATGCTTAAATGACCACATTTAATCAAAAAGTAAAAGTATATCTGTGTCTTAGTGTTTTCTTCCAGAGAAGACAGCGATAACATTCATTCAGATCAAAGGAATTTAGAATACTTGGTCAAAAAGCCRGACAATTCTACAAATTCCCAACTGAATAATACAGCAAATCCATTGCTTCTTCAGAAAGACTCTAATCTCACGTAACTTGAACCTTTTAGATGATCCTATTAACAGATTCAATGCTTACAAAAAAAAAGAAAAAATGGAAGGATTTCTAAAAAGGAATGGAGCAGAAATAGCTTTTGCATTTGTTTTTGGATGAATCTTGCAAGAAATTGGATCGAAATGCACAATAACATTAGGACCTACTCACAAGACTTYTTATTTACAGCTGCTTTCCACTGTTGCTTGTTCTGCATGCCAGAAATGCAGGCATAACACAGCGTTTTTTACTTCTTTTCCTACTTTGCATACCCGGYGTAGGCTAATATTGCAGACAACTGCAATACAATATCAGCATGCATGGAGCTCTAACAGGAGCAAACTGGATAGTTTTAGATTGTGACTTAAAACCTCTAGAAGCAGATCATCTTTTTGAATATCTAAATTCCAAATTTCATGATTGAAATATCATGCCTGTGTATTTTCCCCCACAAATTTTCTTGTTACTTTTTCATTACACCAATGCAGAGAAAAAGAAGAGGAATTATGCTAACTAGCAWCTACAATGAAATAATATAATTCTGATGAAGCCATTAAAAATATATAGGTTTACCTGTAGTGACAAATTTAAATTTAGAGTATATTCCCCACCTCTTTTTAATGCAAAGTCTAYCCAAGCAAACCTGTTTTCACAACCAGGTGCTAAAAGCCACACTTTTTCWGTAAGAATTTCAACAGTGCATATCACTTCAGATTACTATAGAGAACTATAAAGAAATGCACTGGGGCACTTTGATATTCCATCCACAGGCCACTTTCCTACATGACCACTCACTGCCAGTCAGTCCTCTTTGAAGGAAAAAGACTTTCCACCCACTGCATACTTTACAGCCAGAATAATTTCAGTATGATGAGGCTAAGCCCTGTCCATTCTCTCAAACTGAAGCAAGTGATATCCACTAAAACTTTAAAAAAAACAACTGCCAGACAAGTTGCCTCATCCACAGAGCTGAGATGACACAGACTATAACCCCCAGAATATTTAAACAAAGGAGACAGGTACTTCTGAACTGTYGTGGCTCTTGACTTCTGACAGTGGCAAGATAACAGTAACACTGAAGTAAGAGAATGCTAGCATATAGCATGAGCTGTGGACAATAACTAAAAAAATATAAATAGGATAAAAGTGCTAAAGCACCTCCATAGAGACCTTCAATATTAAACAGAAAAGGGGTTTAAAGAAAAAAAAAAAGCAACGGATACTTCATAGCCATCACAACAGAGATAGAAGGAGCCTCACATTGGCTGTGTCTCACTAGCACACATAAGATTTAACAGATTACTTCCATTACCTTCTTCTATTCTAAAATATCTATTACCTCTCCTATAGATCTGTATGAGAGGCATATGTTGTAACCTGTAATACCAAATGAAATTTTATCTCCTCTAGAGCACTACGGATACTGAAAATCTACCCACAAGAGCAGGAGAAGTATGACTAAGCCAATTTGCAGTATTTCTGCCTTAGGAAAATGAAGGAAGGATGCTTACAGAATGATCCAGTTTTTGTTACTGTTTATTTCAAATAGTGTGCTAAAGATGATTAAGTTTTGAGTATTATTATTTTGCATCCTCCTCAGCTAATTTGGTCTTCATTTGTAGGCAGGATAAAAAAATACATTACAGTAACATGACAAAAAGCTAGCTACAAACAATGTCTCTATCTGAAAGGAAAAAAGAAGGAAAAAAAAAAGGGCAGTCTTCTAGGAGAACTGCAGAGAAACTATATTAGGAAAACTATTTCTGCCTTGATAAGTCTCTGAATTCCTTCTGGGACAACACCTTTGGAGCTCCCTTTCACACCTTTGTTTAAGCTATGAGCAGCTGCAGCTATGTAGTATCTACAGTTACAACATTTATGTTACGTTTTTTACTTTCAGAARTTTAAATTGGACATTCAAAACAGTGATTTGACTTTCGTTAAAAAAATTGTATCTTATAAACAAGCTAAGGACTTCGTGAATATAAAAGTAACAATGTTGTAAGAAACATTTTGTATGACATGTWGCTCTACCATCTCCAGTTTTCAATGTGTGTGAATTCACAAACTGCTGCTCTCTGCTGGGTTAATATGCAAAAACAGTTATGACTGCCTTCTATACATTTTTTCCTAGTGTACTAAATACATTAAGTTTAATAATACATTTGAAGAAGAAAAATTTTCTCCAGTCTTTATCCAACTTGTTTGGCCTTCAAACATAAAGTCATGCATCAGTTTTGCAATACATSGRTATTGCTAATCTATAAACTAAGAASTAGAGAAGGATTTCCATGAGGTTTAAATTTGAACACAATTTCAGTGACAAAAACTGTTTGATCAATCTCATGTCTTCCAAGAGACTGCTAACAATGTGTTTACATRTAAACAGTAACACTTAGAAATACAAAGCCTTATTCGTATATTTTTTCCTCTGGAATAGCTCCTGGGGAGAGTTCTGAAGAGACAGAAGTTGCATTTTTCAGTGTACTATAGAAAGTTCATTTTCAAATTAGATTTCCTAAAAGAATAAGATAGAAGTGCCATCTGTAAATTGGCACAGGTACATTGTTAATAATCACTGATAAGGAAAGAACCTTGTGGTAGCTTCTCCCTGTATCTGACCTAAACTCTGAAATGTGAAGAGAACAAAGTTCACAAGTGACATTATTAAAATAAACACAGTCCTGTTTGAACTGGGAGATGTTTTAATGATAACTGGGCAGCATCACTAATGATAGAATACTTGAAGCTATAATTTCTTCCATATATCAATATTCCTCAAATTCTACCAGCATACTTCTGCTTGAAGTACATAAAATAACTGCACTGATTATTTTATTGGTGGTGCTTCTAAGTAAGCCTGCGCAACAATAAAACTACGCACAAAAATTTAAACTAAAAAGTTTTTCCTAAAAGTGCTAGAAAATTAAAACAGGGAAACGAATCATCATCTTTCCTTCCCTTTTACATCACGATACATCTACTGCTGTCATAGTGGCCTTTCTCTAATATGCAGCACAAGCATCCAAGCAGCAGCAAACCTGCAAATTTCACCTCACTGAGTACCACAGGTTTAACTCCACAGCCTTCTGAATACTATTGCATTAAAAATTATCAGGAAGCTCATTATATGAAGCCACAGAAAACGTGTATTTATTGTTAGCTTAGCACATGTAAAGTTTATGATTCCGCTCTTATCCACACTATTAAAGACAAACTTTTTTTAAACATTAAACTCCACAATATTCACAGCAATTATTACTATATCCAACTTTTTTCTTACTTCCTAAAAACTTTGTAATCTTTGTTYAATAGTGCATGGCCACATAAAATTATATTGTAAAACTCAATTTACCATCTCTCTTTTGGAAAGTTCTTTACAATTTCACTAATGATTGGCTGGTAGCAAGAATCTCTTTCAGCTTTACCCTCTTCACTCCAGTCTCTTACAAACTGTTTCAAAGTAGACTTTAATTTATCCATGTCAAATGTTGAGGCTGGTATAATCTTCCCTCTTCCCTGAGGAAAGTAAAAAAACAAAATAAAATAAAACAACAACAACAAAAAAATAGAGATTAGTCAAGACAAGTATCTTTAGTTTTAGAAAATCAAAAAMAAAGTAGAAACAGATAAGAAGCCATGCTTTTAGTTTTGGCAGGAGTTTTAGTTAATAAAAAACTAGTAGAAAGATGGAACCTCCCACTCTGAGAAGGRGATCCGTCTGTGTCACTACTGCGACAGCCAAAGGAAGCTCACACTGCAGCTTCCCAGAACTGTACTTGTCCTGCAGATACCAAAAACAGACTTCACACTCCCAATCTTTAAAGTTTGACTGCAACTTTTCTGCAATACAATGCCACACTGAAAGGAAATGAGTAGTGCAAAATAAATAAATGAACGGTATATATGATAACATTGGACATAAAATAACCTACAAAATGGCAGACAATATTAACTATGGCTTTGATAGAGAATTGGAAAAATAATGATTAAGTTATAAGCATATAATTTAAAGATTTAAGTATTTAAGCATTTAAGCAAAATAAGATAAAGCATAACTAGGACAGAAACAGAACTGCAGAGTTAAAAAAACGTTTTACAAGAAGTGATTATTGGCACGTGCCATTGATTTTCTATCAGTTYTTATAATGGAAACTAGAAGGTTTAACAACATATTGTTTTCTTAGTCATCTCTATAAGATGTGAAAATGAGAGTGAGAAAATATAAGCAAATAGGAATTTGTGAATGAGGAAAAGTAAGAAGGGCAAAAGCAAAAATGCTGGAGGACAAAATGTGTGAAAAACAAACGCAGAATATCTCCAAGAATACAGGATTTAATTCTGCAACATGAAAAAAAGTTTTCACATACATCTTCTCCGTATTCTTTGTTTTCAAACATATGAACGCAGTCCTTCACAATGGTCTGTAGTATCTGCTGATTGTGATCAATGCACTTCCGAATCTTGTCAAGGTGAGGAAGGAATTGAGGGAGAAGACTCTGTTGGTTAGGCGGAAGAGACCTAAACTGCCTCTCTGTTCTGTTCACTCGTTCATGCATGCTAGTTCTAGAAAGCAAAAAAAAAAAAAAAAAAAGTCTTTAGATCATAAGCAACAATACATATAATAAATAAAGATAAATAATTCACTCAAAGCTACTGCAACAATCCAG